TGAATGAATGAAATAGAAAGGTTGCTTAGTTACAGCTGTCTGTCGTTTGTCTTTGTATGCAATATGGCGGCTGCCTTTCTTGCTATCCGTGCCGCCAGACTGCAACGTAGACTACGACATTTTCATCAGAGGCTGAATCTATTATAATATGTGCACGATGATGCAATTTACGAAAGGTTGCGCCCGGTTTTGACAAAAAAAAAGAAAAAAAAAGAAAAAAAACGGCAAAAAGGAGGTGGAGATCCTTTACGACGACGTCAAAGCAGACATTCGTATACATTTCCAGCCGTCAAAGATTGGAGAGTTAGTGCATTCTAGATAAGATGGACACTATTTGATTTCCAATCTTTATTAACTGGAAACATTGAAGGCTGAAATGCATATAAACAAACTATTAGTAAACTCAATAATATAATAAATGGAAAAATATGAAATACACAACAAAGAACTAGATTATAAAATACTGATATATGATATATGTAAATAAATGACAGTCACCTCAGGTATAAAAAGTCCTGCACACCTCCTATCAGGGTGAAGTCCAGTGTATGAATGATTCACTATATATAAAGGCCTACACAGTGTGCATTTAGAGAATGACATGTTCTCCAGGTAAGTACTGATGCAACATAGCCTTTGGCTACATCTAATATCTGACTAAGTACTCTTGGTAAGCAATTACCTTTGAATGAAAACTACAGTATGCTCATTATCCTCTACATTCGTGACACTTTTAAGCAAGAGTTCCACATCCGGTAGACTGTTTAGAGAGTACGGTGAATGAGAGAACTAACGGCCGAGCTTTACGACTGAAGTTAGTAATGAGTTAACGACTACTTCGTGAAACACCCCTCGAAAATCGCCAAGTTATCTTGTTAGTGAGTTAGTTCAGTAGTTAGTTATTCTAACTAACGACTGCTTCGTGAAATGGGCCCCTGCTGTAATATCCACCATTATGGACATCTGTACCAAATGTGTTTTTTGCATCACTAGGTAGCAATAGGTTCCAGTGCAATTTTTGCTCTAGTGATGGCAGTGACGTTCATTGGTACCATACGGCAGTTGGTGCAGGACTTCAGTACCTTTTACCTACCGGCTGAAATAGGCCTAAGTAAGTAGTTATAAATAATCAATGAACAAACAAACAACAGATCTAAATTAACCAAATAACACGATGGTTGTTTTTTTCTTTTTAATACAATTTTTTCATATTGATCAATGGTCGGTATTGCAATGACTGTACATGTATTATTTTAACATCTCCCTCAGCAAAATGAAAAGATTGCAGCAACGAGTTTGCAGGGGTTTACAAGAGACATTTTATTGCAGCTAATTTGCAGAAACATTGCATCAACTTTTCTGCAAATTTCCAAGGAGGAATTGCAGTTTGCGAGAAGGTCACGGGTAGAAGTTTTACATAATTTTTTAGGTGTGAATGCATTGCCGGTTCCGGTTAGTTCGGTGTACATCTGTGCGGTAGCTGGGATGTTTGTCATAACGGCATTATTGCATCCGACGGAGTTCACGTGCCTTTTCCATGGTAAGGGTACCACAAAACTTACAAAAGCGGGTCCAAGGGTCAATGCAACGCATAAAACCGCCCTTCTTCAACCCCCTTCCCACTACAAAATACGAGAGCAAAGGAAGAACAAAACAAACAGAACAAGAAAAAAATACAATATTTTCATCCCTATGCCCTTCATATGACCATATATTATAATACAATTATCCTCGTTTCCCTTTTCACCCCTTACTTCTTGTGTTTATAAATTCTCTTCCATTTACGAAGTGTTGGACCAAATGTAAAACACACACACACACACACACACACACACAATACGCTTATTGATGTCTTTGGTTGCTGTATTTTCATCTGTTATTTTGAAAATAATACTGATTCAATTAAAAGACAACTATACATTTGCAGCGTTTACGGCACCTGCTCTGCATAGGTGCTGTTAACAATTGTTTGCTGGTTAGTTCGCGACAACTGTTTCAGTTACATTTTTCATTCTAACTTATTTATTCGTTTTTAAGGTATCACATATCTGTTCTTTCTGCCGGCTGGCTTTCTCATCCTCACTATCTACAGTATATGTAACATTACGGATCAGAGCTGGGGTAAGTACAGATACCATATACAATCATCTTTGACAGTTGTGTGGTAACGTACCTGTATATACAGACTTGACATTTAATATGGAATATTTCAGTTTCGAAGGTGTGTCTAGTTAAAAATGCATTATTTTTTCAAAAAACTCCGATCTCATATAAGATATGTGAATGGAAAAGTGTGTAGTCAGGTGTGTCGCTTCCAATGAACTGAATACCAGTTTTGTTGCGCTGCTGCATTATGTAATATGCAGTGATTTAATTGGGCAGTGCTCCTTTGGGCAGGTCAAAGCTTGGCTTTGGCAAAGCATGGTTCTGTCAAAAAAGTATCCGTATGTCGACAACTACTGCATTGAAGAATTTAAAATTTTGCATGCAAGTGGCCGGTTTTGCAAGGTGTAAAATGAGCTATGCAGTGCTTTAAAAATTTGTTAATCTGTGGCAGAATGGCGCGAAAAAGTCAGACATTGCCAGACAGATAATTGTGCCAAACGAAACGGCTCGCACAGTTTTATAGGGTAATGCCCAGACTGATGTACCTACACACAGGCCAAACCTAATGTATTGAAATCTTACCACCAGGGTACAGGACCCTGGATAATGCTATTGCAACTAAACAAATACCACCCAGTCCGTTCAGAATGAGGGGTAAATTGTCACCAAAACGCATTTTTCAAGGCCCTTAGCGAACACCAAACTGGTTTTAGCTGGTGAGAATACCAGACGACCTGAGGGGAACCCACTGTAAACAGCAAAACATCGTTGTATGTTTCTCTAATGAATTGGGGACCTTGACCGTTTCTGAGTTGAACACTGAAACCTCGTGGCTTTCTTAATTGAGGTCAGATTTCACTTGTACCGCTCAACTAGTCAAAACAGAGTTAACAGACATCCAGAAGAGGCCAACGACTAAGCGTGTGCCGCGTCTAAAGTGACTAAGGTCATAAATAGCGTCAGTAATTGGAATGGATACCACATTGGTGCCAAAACGCCAATGATGGCCATCCACGAAAACCTGAACCAGATCAAATAAAGGAATAATCTGGGAACCACTTGACTATCATTTGATAGGGGGCACCTTAGGAACAATTTTAGGTTGCACAGTGAAATTGCCGGTACACACAGAGCACTTTTAATAGCAGATTACTTACAGAACCAAGGGAATGAGCAGCTACCTTGGTAATCAAATCGCAATATTTGAACCACATAGACAATATGTGGGTAGGTCATTATTCGCCGAATTTATGGCATACATGTCCTACAACAAAACTGGACCAAATTGGACAGATTTTTGACCGGTGCCTAGAATGATATTCCAGATTGAACTCTAAAAACCTAACCCAAGGAATACCTTGCCACTTGAGAGCGCTGGTAGCAGACAGAAGAGGTCAAGCGTAATAGCGACTGTTACTGTGACTAGACACTGACATGGGTGTTCTGTGAGTCGTGTAACTCTTTTACAAAAAATAATTTGGAAACTATGGAGATCCAAATTATCTCTTTTAATTGTTGTCGTATGACATAGAACAGACAATGTGTTTTTGTTTGTTTCTCTGGCGAATTCCATTAATGAACTGATGTCACAATGATATCAAAGAGATAATTAAAAGTTATTAAAACACGATTTTAATCCTCATTTTCATTTACCAGTCAGCAAAATAGAAAAAAAATGATGAAAAATGATTTGGAAAAAATATTCCATATTAAATGTCAAGTCTGTAAATAAATATGCACCTTTGCATGAAGTTTTATAATTTTGAGATTTATAAGAACTATTAAATGTTGATATGTTGCTGCAGGGACTAGGGAAGCAAATACCTCTGAACAGGATAAAAGTGTTCTTCAGAAACTATGGGACCGAGTACAAGGGACGTGGTATGTTAAAAAAAAAAAATATATATATATATATATATATATATATATATATATATATATATATATATATATATATATATATATATATATATATGGGAGCGCGTCAGAATAAGATAGGCTTCATTGTTGCTGATAAACATTTAATCATTTCAATAATTTGATATTGATTTAGGTTTTTTTCTCGTAGTTAATTGTTGTATTTTAATTAAGTTTATTTTTGAAAATTAAATGTAAGAAACAACTGTTCTAAACTAATGCACTTAGTTTACAACTGACGAATAGATAACTGTTGTTAAAGCCTTAAGTCCATCAGTGTCAATGATCTTAATGACTTCACATTCGGTATATAAAATAAACCAATTACGAATCAGAGGCTTAGGCTTCTTAAGTAAGTACCCGTGGTTTATTATATCACCCCTCGACTCAACTTGTTAGTTGTGATTAAAGTTACATTCGATGCATTTTTGCAGTTGCCCAACTCAGAAAGTCACACCCGAATTTGGCACCTTAGAGATGATCACCGATCTACCAGATGAGGCAAATGATACATCGGCAGGCAGTGAGTAAATCAAAACAGTAAACATACTGACAATGAATGTTGTAATATGATGAGCCCTCGCAGTACAGGTTTTTACTAGTGATACATGTACCAATAGAGGCGTATGGCATACAAACGTCTCTTCGTATAGCATTAACACTTGTCCTGTCGTTAATTAGGTATATTTTACTCAGGTGCAATGGAATTAGTCAATTAAATTAGGAATTAAGAACGAAATATACTACATAGTAAGGCTCGTTTCGATGATTGATGGCATTAGGATAGTATGGCTGGTATAAGGTATTAAGGGGTAAGGATGGTCAACGCAATCAAACCCTGCGCAGGAGGTTTTTCAAGCTATTTGCGTTACAAAACGTCAAATCAACCAAATTTAAGTACCTGTACGCATCGGTTTAATACACATTTTAATGGGTATTCGTCGGCGCAATCTATTGGGTTATGGCGTGTTATAATTTTAGGCTCTGTGGAAGAGGAACAGGAAGGCGCCAGAGAAGACAGATGTCAAGACGCCATTCCAGTGAAAGATTGGTTGTTTGCAATGTTTTATCAGAACGAAATCAAGGTATCGTTGAACCCTGATGGTCAGCTGCGTAGTAAACACATCCTGAATATATCGACACATAAATACAGGCTTAACATTTAATATGGAATTCTTTTCCAAATCTTTTTTTTATAAAATTATCCTATGTTTCTGACTAATATATACAAGGATTAAAAGCTGTATTAATAAATGTTAATACATCACCTTGATGTCACTGTGACATTAGCTCTTTAATTGGAATCGCCAGTGAAGCAAACAAAAATACACTACTGATTCAAAGTAATACGACAACCATAAAAAGCGATATTTTTGATATCCATATTTTTCCAAATTATCATCTGTAAAACTGTTACACGACCCACAAAGGACCCTCATGTCAGTGTCTAGTCACAGTAACGGCCGCGTATGCGTCTGACCTCATCTGGCTGCTACATGCACCCGGGTTCTCAAGCGGCAAGGCATTCCTTGGAATAGGTTTTCTGGGTTAAATTTGGAATATCATCTTAAGTATCGGTCAAAATCTGACCAATTTAGCTCACTGTTCATGTAGGATAAGTAGGCTGTTGATTCGACGAGTAATGACCTACCCACATTTTTCTATATAGTTCAAATCTGGTGATCTCGATGGCCAAGGTACATGTAGCTGCTCATTTGCTTGATTCTGTAAGTTATCTGCGGTTAATAGTCCTCTGTTTGAACCGGAATTCCACCGTGTAACCTGAAATTGTCTCTAAGCTGCCCCCTATCAAATGGTAGTCAGTTGGTTCCCAGATCATATATGAGTGGTCCAGGTTGTCCTCGATAACTACACTGCATCATTGGTGTTTTGGCACCAATGGGTTATCCACTCCAAATACTGATGCTGTCAATGACCCAAGCGTCTCGATTCCATGGCCCCGTATCTCGAAATAGAATCGGTTATGGAATCGAGACACTTGCGCACGTGCGCAACATAGCGAACCTTTCGAGACACGGAGCCCAGATTTGCGCAATGCAGCAGTGCTACAGCCAGTTAATTGGTAACGACACACCTGACTACACACTTTTCCAATTGCATATCTTGTGTGAGATCTTATCATTAAAAAGCGCATTTTTACTTTCTACTTACCTACGAAAGAAAAATATTCCATTTTAAATGTCAAGTCTATACATTCGCAGTGGTTTGTGAACTAGATTGATAATATTGTTAACAATTACACAAAAAAATAATACCTCTTAGAAACCCCAACATATTTTTACCTGAAAGTGCTGAAAAGTTGATTTTTTAAAAAATAATTATAAAAGACTACTTTTGCTTTGAAGTGCTTCGAATATTTTATTTTAATTTTATAATCATTATTTCAAACTTGTTTTATAGGCTTGTGAGGACAATTTTAAAAAGCTAGGTTATGACGACACCACTTTTATTGCCGGGATGAGCAAAGAGGTATATTGTCTTCTAATGTCATGTGTTCCGTCATAGAACTGCAGAGGCGTCACTATCGACCCAGGAATTATGCATTGACCTATCATTCCATGAAGTACATACCAAGCTCAAATCAATCAAATACAAACTACAGTGGTATAATATTAGATCGATTTATTGTTATCAATAAAGAGCATATGAATGTAGATACCTAGACCACATATGGTCCTCGAAAACATTTTTCTTTGATTTTTTTCAGGAAATTCGCCAAGTCGGCATAATCAATGGGGACCACGTTAACCTGGTACACGCAGAGGTACAAAAACTTCCCACCTTTCAGATAGACCCACAGGTACCAACAAACACGGCAGAGAAGGTGAGGGTGTAATAAAATATATTGTAAAAATGTGTTGATGGATATCATCGACACATTCAGTGAGAGCTGAGGTATTTCCTTTGAAGCAAAACGCCAGCTAGGTAACCGTTAAATAACATGATTTTGTCACTCGTTGGCAAATTTTGGCTTCTGATATTCAACATTGAATGTTTCTGTACGTGAATAAAATATCCAAAAGCCATGTTTTTATGGTTAAAGTGATAATAACTCTTCGTTTCTGTCAAAAAATGAATTTTCCTGGAGTAAACAACAATTTTCCCATACTTACCAATGGTTAATGAATCCATTTTTACTTTCAAATTTAGTCCCTGGATTTTTTCTAAAAAGTTTGGTTTTTTGTTAAAATCTCTTAAGAGATTTTAACAGAGTATAGCCATCAATGGAGGTCACGTGGTCTAAAGATAAGCTCACATNTGGATATCATCGACACATTCAGTGAGAGCTGAGGTATTTCCTTTGAAGCAAAACGCCAGCTAGGTAACCGTTAAATAACATGATTTTGTCACTCGTTGGCAAATTTTGGCTTCTGATATTCAACATTGAATGTTTCTGTACGTGAATAAAATATCCAAAAGCCATGTTTTTATGGTTAAATATCCCACAAAGCTACTCGAACAAAAAAATAAAAATAAAAAAAAAATACCCGATGACGCCATTTGCTACTCGTTTATTCGTTTAGTACTCTGCTTATTTGATTAGAAATGGTAGAAACGCATGGGCTGAGAGAGCAATAATTCGAGTTTTGAAGAAATTTGCCTTTTTTTTCTCGATAAGAGTAGAAGTATCATTTAGCTCTCGAAAATGTCACATAGAATACATTTTAATTCATTGTCTAACGTAACGACCTAATCAAGGCGCGGCTGTTTCTTAATCGCTCATTCTTTAAAGCTTAAATAGACAAGTCTTAATACAGGTGGAAAAGACTTGATATGGGGGCCGTCATTATCAAGGCTTATTTACATATACCAGTGTTAATGTCATTTACAGTACTTGCCTTGATGTTATTTTAGTTTCGAAATTGAACATAGCAATATATTTAAAAGTTCCTTATGCGCATCGTACCAACTGATGCACGAGTATTACAGATTTGTAAATGGCTGAGTTATGGTTTATCTAACCTTTAGATAAAACATCTTAAAACACTGTTGTGAAAAGGCAACTGAAAATTTTACCATTTATTTTTTAAAGTGTAACTTGCCGTAGGTCCGCACAATTAAATTCCAAACTCACAGAAGACCAAACAATGCATATAAATCAGCAACAGATTTTATTTACAACAATGAAACAAAAATAAGAATAAACAATTCATACAATGTAGACATCTGCCTTTAACAGAGTCACAAAATTAGCAGTTTATAACCCTGCCTTTCACAGAGTGAAATCTGCCTTCTGTAGACCAGTCTCTGTTGCCAAGTGAGCGTATAACGATTTATTAGTTGAATGTCTCTTCCTTTGTATGGTATCAGTCACTTGAATAGGTATTAATGAAAGACACGTATAAATATATATGTAAGTCTTTATGAAGCAAATTTTTAGTTTGTCATAAAGAGGATAAATCAAATATAATTAATGTAAAATTAAATCTGACACAAAAATTTTCTTTTCTTATTGTTATAAGCACGCTTTTAAATTATGGATTAAACTTTCAGGAAAGGTGGGTTAACTCCATAGGCCTCGTAAGATATAGGGAAGCACTACTAGACCATTTTGATGACTTGATGACCACCACTGACAAATATCAACTGAGGAATAAATTTGGAATTCACAAACCAGGTAGATGTTATTTTAATACCTTTAGAATGTGCGACTTTAAATGGTCATTGGTCCGACGCCTGTACCTTGAGTGTCAGAGCAACGTAAAAATTTGCTTGTAAATATTAAATATACCTTGGAGTCATTTTTACTAGCTCTGAGGTACAGCGGCCATGTTAGGCTTCCGTCAATCAAATAGAACTGCTCCGCAGTGAATCTGCAGTTGAATGTCATCAGACGAAAATGAAACGTAAAACAAATTTAATTCTGCTTTATTTAATTTTATTTGCTGTATTTAAGATGTAAAGTGAAAAAATAATATTCTTCGAAAAGAAAAGGTATATCCAATGTTTTTTGCATTTTTTACCTATCAAAGAACATTTAGTCCTGAGATATACACGAGATATACACGTGCACAATACACTGTATGCCCGATACCACTATAAGGGCATGCTCAATGGCAACACAAAAATCAGTTTTTACAGCAGAATGTTGCTTGTATTGTGGCACTGACCTTCGACTGCAAGATATTTTCAATTCAAACTTCTAAGGCACTTTAATTGCTTCTTGTCTCGTCTGCACGAGATAACTTCAGCGCAAGGCGGGAAAGGCAGCTCCAGGCGGTCAAATCTGTGACGTACGAGACCTATGACTTCCAAATATGGATCCAGGCGGACACAACTGTGACGTGTGACTTCCAAATATGGAAGCGCCCCAGGCAGAATTTTGAAGAAGAACGGCCCCGAGTTGCCGCTGTTCGCTAGAGCCTGGTATTGCTGCTATGGGTTATATATGAAATCAAGATCGAGCTGGCAATACCGGAATCTAGAACCTAGGGTAGACGCCTGTGGCCAGTAAAATTTCGTGCGGACCAGGTTCCTTAAATTTCCATAGATATTTCTGAATGTGTCTCCATGAGTGAAAGTGTTCCTGACCAGAAAGATTTGACAAAATAAAGGTCTTATCATAACTAGTATTAGCATGTAATAGGGTGAAAATTCTGCTCTGATTGACATTTTTATTTGGACCAGTGATTTGTAATACAGAGCTGAAGATTTTAGAAAACTGGCGGTCCGAAAGGCCAGTAAAATGAAACGTTTCGGGCACAGACTTTACATGTGCGCTTGGACAGTGTTTGCGTGTAGACATGCTTATCTACTCGCTTTAGCATTTAAAAATAATGCAAGATGACAGTGAACAATGTCAGCATTTTCTTTTCTCCCAATCCACAAGCAGTCTCAAAATTTTCCGTCAGTCAGCTTCTAGATGAGTTCCATAGACGGTGCATATAGCCTGCTTGCATGTATTGTAGAACCTACAACAGCTGCCCCCCTCCCCCAAGCCATTTTCTCAGTCTACGATCATTAACGTGTTTGTGTGCGCAAGTGCAGGCCTTTGAAATATGACGTTTTCACATTATCCATAAAATACAGTACAAAAAGTATAATTTAGTAAGTGCATGTACACGGGATACGCATATTTTTGTGTGCATTACAACATGATAACCTTTTGTTCAAAACCAGGTCACCTAAAGCGCCTGTACCAGTCCATCCAGCAGCTTCGACCGCCTACTCCTGGTAAGACCACGTGGATGTCTGTCTCAATTATTACTCCATTATCTGTTGTATTTACACACAAATTAAATTACGGTCATATCTCTCTTAACAGAAAGTTTGTATGTCCTACTAACTAATGTATGTTATGTCGTTCATGAAATATGACATATTTCTTCATACAGTGTAATCCTAAAATACATGCAATGTGCATGTGTTATACATCTTTAGACGACGTATGCTCTAAAGTGTAATATTTCATCAAAACTGATATGCATTAGTGAAACATTCATTCTTAGCAGCAAGTTATATCACCAGGTAATTGTTGTTGCATACAATTGAAACTCAAAAGAAACCTAGGTAGTGTCTGGATTATATAGTTTCCACTTTTTCTGCTTTTGTAGATGAAGCAAACTTGATGGAGGTCCGAGGCGAATTGGAAAGCTGTGAGTCTTCTGAACTCCCGGAAAGAGAGCAACTATTTTGGGAGAAACTTATAGCTGCTCGCCTAAAGCCGACAGCCGTGTTCAAGGAAAAGGAGGACGCACTGAAAAGTAAATGGCCCAATGAGTAAATCTCTTTTCAAACCTGTTTAATGGTTTCATCTTTAATTTAATCTAATAACTATGTAAACGAATTAAATTTCACGAACTATGTAAAACATAATAGTGTCGCTCCAATCGCAGACATTTTGATTATTTAGATGAGCTGATGGATCTCCGCAAGACGGCGCTGATGTGGTTTGCGGTAGTAAACACGTTGTGGCTCACAATATTCCTGACCCTTGGTAACTTGGTTACAGACCCAGAAAAACCCGACCTCCAACTTTTTGGGAATAATCCACTAGGTAATATGAGGTTCCTATATTTTCGATTTTTATATCAAATGTAGGCCTATACTACTGGGTAGTTAAGTGTCGTATGATTACAAAATGCACGATATTTTTATCAACCACTACGCATTCTCTAGAGATTGTTCTCTTTCATTTTTCTATTTTTCCTAGGAAATTTACCCGAATTACATCCTTGCATGTTATACATTTTTAATTAACCCATGATCTTATTCTTGACTGAAAATTACAAGTACATATTAATTTATTCAATGGCACATCTAATTACAGGTCTAGTGTTTCTGTTCATCTTCTGCTTCCTGCTTATCGTACAGTTCCTGGCCATGCTGTGCCATCGTCTGCTGACCTTCGTCCATTTGTTGGCGCGTGCGACCTTGGGTGAGGGAAATGGCGTTTGCTGTTGCCAAAGAGCAGGCAATCCACAACCCTACGAAATGTTAAATGATTCTGAAAGTACTGTATAATTAGCAAACATATTGGAGTTTTTTTTTCCTTGACTACAATTTGATCAGGAAGATACTTTATCCGACGCATATATCGAAAATGTTTTTATATCAATCACAATGGCGATCAGCAGACACGAATTATTGGATTTTAAATGGCCAATAACATAATCGCTTATTAATGGCCATGTTTCTTTCCATTTGTGTTCCCACTTTTTCATATTAAACATAACATAATTTTGAAGAATGTAGACTTTATACTTATTTTATTTTCTACTGGAATTGTTTCATTTGTGCATGTTCCTCAAAATCGAAGACCGGCAAAATTTGACCTCAACGTTGTAACTTTGGCCACTTTTCCTCAAATAGGGAGAGTGTGTGGGAAATTTCGGTTAAAGTATTTTTCAATCATTATTGTAGGTACATCATAAATTTGTCTTTGCATGGAAACAAATTTTTCATTTTTTTAAGACTTTTAAACAAAGTCGTACACAAGCCAGGATTTGACGACACGATCTCTTTGTTCTCTTTGTAACAAAATCAATAATTAATAGATAAATAATAAATAATAAATAAATAAAAGGAAGATTTAAAGACATGCATGCTTCAAAACGAGCCATACGCGAAATGTTTTTGTTTACATTAACAGGTATATATTACAATATGTTACTTTTATGCTTAGTATCCATTTCAATATTGTTAAACCTGTCAATTATATGTTTTTGAACATGACGGCCTTTGTGAAAAAATGGCGGGGGAGAGGTTGGGCGCTTTCTCATCTTGCTTTATATGATATATTATGCATTATATGCCAATATTAAATCCCAAGCAGACATCCCTAGAAAGGTTAGTCTCGTTTTATTTTAATTATACCTGAACATACATTAAATTAAGTGTTGTATTGTTTTAAGAAGTGCATTATTATTATTATTATTATTATTATTATTATTATTATATCAGGCCTATTATACATTCAATACGGACTTACTTGAAAAGTACACTTTTTATCATTTCTGAAATTTCTACTTTGCCTGCTGACTTAAAATTTAGTAATAGGTATTCAGCTTGTCTAATTTTAAGTTTAATCCTCAATGAAAAAGGCAGATTACAGGTGTTGTAAGTGCTAGCCTTGTGGCAAATGTGTTTTTAGCACAAAGATGTGTATGAGCAAAATTTGAATATACATGCTTGAATCGTTATCCAATTTTAAAAAATATGTTTCTTCGTTGCAGGATAAAATATTTTCTTCAAATAAACCTGAATACGCCTTAACAGTATTCCTTTCATTTTGTCATCACCAAGGAAGGGTAATTTTCATAAAATAAACAACTGAAACATCCAAGCTTGCCACCAAGCATGCCAAAGTAATTCACCCAAATAGTCCATTCGGCGTAAAAACAGAAGGTAAGGTTATATCCCATAATTGAAGAGATGTCTTATACATTTTGACTCAGAGGAGGATGGATGGATGGGGAGATAACAGGTAAAGGAATTGGTGGAGCCGAGATCAGGGGCGGATCCAGGGCCCAACTCGAAAGCATCTCTCATTGCGACCGTGCGCAAAGTCTCCATTCCATTACCCCCATATGCGGCGAGTATGGGCGAGTTATGGAATCGAGACGCTTGCGCTCAGTCGCAATGCGCGATGCTTTCCAGTACCCTGGGGCCGTAACTCGAAAGCATCGCGTATTGTGAATAGCAATATCAAATAGAGGAGCTCCATACGTGGATCCATAAGTATGCGTTTTTTTTAGTACGTGGGTTTATGTGGACGTCGTATCTATAGGAATGCAAATATATACAGGGTTGCTACTTAATATGGAATTTTTTTTATCATTGTTATTTTTGA